CAAGGGGAAGACCATGGTGTAACGCGAGTAGTCGTCGACAACCAGCAAAAAATACCGCTCACCGCCCTGACCACGAACGCGGGCTGGGCCCCACACGTCCAGGTGGAGGGTCTGCAGAGGAGCCTCTGTCGGGGGGAACGAGGAGGAGTGAGGAGCGGCGCGCTGCCGCCCCTCGACGCAAGGAAGGCAAGGCGGCGCAGGCGAGGCAGGGAGGGGAGGGAGGGACCTGGGAAGACCAGACACAAGGCAGCGACGGTGCATGCCACGGAGGCGTGGCAAGGAGGGGTGACCCAGGCGGTGGTGCCAGAGAAGAGTCTGGTGCGACAGGGAACGACACTCACAGGCGTGGGCCACCAGACCTGACGCGGACACCTGACCGACAGCAGCGACCTGAGGAGACGCAGTGGTCAGTGTGTAGAGACTCGACCCCGGCCGACGAGTAAACGTAGCCAGGTGACGGCCGGTCCTGGAGCACGTGCAGATCGCCACACGCTGTCCTCCAGGGGTAAAGGTGTCAACCCACTGATCCTGGATGACAGCGTTGCTCACCAGGTTCGTCGAGAACGAGGGGAGGTGGAAACCCGTCAACGAGCCAGACGGAACCGCCGGACAAGGGAGCACAGTGGTGGACTGGGCAAGGACTGGGCCCCCAGAGGGGTCAGCCAAGGAGACTGGGACCGGTGCAGGAAGCGGTGTGAGCTCAGTACTGTCTCGAAAGAAGCAGCGGGAAGCACCTGAGTCAAGGGTGAAGGTGTGACAGGTCTCAGCCGGTGCAGTACCTGAGAGAGCAGTCTCTGTGGGTGCTGTACCTGAGAGAGCAGACTCGCAAGCAGCAGGGACAGTGCTGGAGGGAGCAGGTACAGGGGGCACCATACCAGAGAGAGCAGACTCACTAGTACCTAGGGCAGCGGGCTCTATACCTGGGTCAGGCGGCACACACAAGTAACAGTCTCCCTCGGCACTAACAGTCAATGCATACATGGCAGCAATAATAGCATCATAGTCAAGAGCAAAGATATCAACACCAGCCCTCATCAGCTCCGCCCAGCAGGGGCGCTCAACATCCTCGCCCATCTCCTCACGCCAAGCGTCGTCAAGGCGGGAGAAGCAGCGGTACGGGGTGTGGAACCTCCCACACGTCTGTCCCTTGCGGTCACCTGTGCGAATGACATAGGAACAGCGGCCACTGCCCCCCGACGTCCCACGCTGAGCAAGCCACTCACGAAGCTGCTGGGTCGTCTGGGGACGCTGCTGCTGGTGGGAGCTCTGGCCCGAGCCAGTGCCTCCACTCCGACCTCCACCGCCGCCACTACCTCCGCTCCGACCGCCACCACCGCCACCGCCACCGCCACTACCGCCACCGCCGCCACTGCCGCCGCTGCCACCACCGCCACTGCTCCCGCCGCCGCCCCCGCCTCCGCCGCCGGCCCCACTCCCACCGGCACTCCCGCCACCGCTCCCTCCAGCACCGCCTCCCCCCCCACCTCCCCCACCCCCTCCCCCCCCAGCGCCACCCCCGCCACCCTTGCCCCCTTTGCCCTTGCCGGTGCGGCGCCTCCCACCAGGAGCAGAAGCAGCGCCAGCAGACTCAGCACCAAGGAAGTCAACAGCAGCAGCAGTAGCATAGGAGGGAGCGAGGGGAGAGGGAGAGCACCCCTCAAAGATGGGGGTGCGAGGAGCGCCGCGAGCAGCACCTACAGCTACAATGCTCTTCTCGGCTGCTAGCAGCTTCTCCTCTAGGAGGGCGACAGTGAGCTCAGTGGGACAGCGAGCAAGGAAATAGTCGCGCACTGAGCTGAGGGTGTCAGGGAGACGGGTGACTATGAAGTGGAGTGCCCAGTACAGGGGAGGGGGGTTCTTAGCGCAGAACTCGGTGGGAAGGGCAGCACGCAGGCGAGCATCACTAGTGCGAAGGTGGGTGATAAGATCGGCGACTGTAGCAAAGGTGGACAGGTCAGGGAACAGGTAAGGCAGCATGAGACGGCTAAGCTCGGCTGTGGCAGGTGAGGAGTAGCGAGCAACGACAGCGTCGTATAGGGCTTTAGCGGTTTTGCAGTCGCCAAAGTGCTCTAGCTCAGCTAACGGCAGGTGACTGCGAATAGCCAGGCGAGCTGCAGCGTCACGAGTCTGCCACTGTGAACGTACACTAAGCTCGGCTGTGGCAGCAGGAGCAGCGGCAGCACCAGACGCGTAGTCATAGAGGGAGATGTGGTCCGTGCTATTGCTCATAAGATACAACTGCAGGTCGTCGAGCCAGGAAGTGAACTGCACGGGACGGCCCTCAGCATCGAAGGAAAGAACGCGAATAGAGGCCATAGCTCAGGCGTGAGGGCACAGCAGAGCAGCGGCAGCAGCAGAGGGGACGCGCTAGAGCGAAGCTAGCAGCCACAGCAGGAGCAAGCGGCGGTGCACAGGCAGGGAGCAGCAGGCGAGGCGGGCGGCGCTGCAGGCGGGAAGTGCGGCGGGCGGGCTGCGAAGCGGGCAGCGGGGCGGGCGGGCGACGCGGCGAGCGGGCAGCGCGGCGGGCGGCTGCGAAGCGGGCAGCGGGCGGGCGGGCGACGCTGCAAGCGGGCAGCGGGCGGGCGGGCGACGCTGCAAGCGGGCAGCGAGGCGGGCGGGCGACGCTGCAAGCGGGCAGCGGGCGGGCGGGCGACGCTGCGAGCGGGCAGCGAGCGAGCGGGCGACGCTGCGAAGCGGGCAGCGGGCGGGCGGGCGACGCTGCGAGCGGGCAGCGAAGCGGGCGGGCCGCGAAGCGGGCAGCGAGCGGGCGGGCGGGCTGCGAAGCGGGCAGCGGGGCGAGCGGGCTGCGAAGCGGGCAGCGGGGCGAGCGGGCGACGCTGCGAGCAGGCAGCGCGGCGGGCGGGCGGCGAGCGGGCGGCTCGGCGGGCGGGCGACGCTGCGAGGGGCGCGCGAGGGCGCTAACGAGGGGCGCTTCGAGGGCGCTAGCGAGGGCGCGCGAGGGCGCTAACGAGGGGCGCGCGAGGGCGCTAACGAGGGCGCGCGAGGGCGCTAACGAGGGCGCGCGAGGGCGCTAACGAGGACGCACGAGGGCGTCACGAGGCTAGGGCACGGGGTAGCGTGGTAACCGCATGCGAGCGGTGGTGGGCCCTTAAAAGAGACGGTAGATAGGTCCTAGGGACCTCCTGCTCTGAATACCATGTCAACAGGACTAGGCAAGAATGAGTGCATTGAATGGAAGAATTGGGTACAAGTAGCAAACCCTAGTTGGGGTTGTACCCCATACTGGCTACCCCACTACAGCCTACCAACATAACACAGTTTAACATTCTCTGCGCTCGCCTTTTGAGAATTCTCAACAGTCTTCTCTGCGCTCGCCTTTTGAGAATTCTCAACAGTCTTCTCTGCGCTCGCCTTTTGAGAATTCTCAACAGTCTTCTCTGCGCTCGCCTTTTGAGAATTCTCAACAGTCTTCTCTGCGCTCGCCTTTTGAGAATTCTCAACAGTCTTCTCTGCGCTCGCCTTTTGAGAATTCTCAACAGTCTTCTCTGCGCTCGCCTTTTGAGAATTCTCAACAGTCTTCTCTGCGCTCGCCTTTTGAGAATTCTCAACAGTCTTCTCTGCGCTCGCCTTTTGAGAATTCTCAACAGTCTTCTCTGCGCTCGCCTTTTGAGAATTCTCAACAGTCTTCTCTGCGCTCGCCTTTTGAGAATTCTCAACAGTCTTCTCTGCGCTCGCCTTTTGAGAATTCTCAACAGTCTTCTCTGCGCTCGCCTTTTGAGAATTCTCAACAGTCTTCTCTGCGCTCGCCTTTTGAGAATTCTCAACAGTCTTCTCTGCGCTCGCCTTTTGAGAATTCTCAACAGTCTTCTCTGCGCTCGCCTTTTGAGAATTCTCAACAGTCTTCTCTGCGCTCGCCTTTTGAGAATTCTCAACAGTCTTCTCTGCGCTCGCCTTTTGAGAATTCTCAACAGTCTTCTCTGCGCTCGCCTTTTGAGAATTCTCAACAGTCTTCTCTGCGCTCGCCTTTTGAGAATTCTCAACAGTCTTCTCTGCGCTCGCCTTTTGAGAATTCTCAACAGTCTTCTCTGCGCTCGCCTTTTGAGAATTCTCAACAGTCTTCTCTGCGCTCGCCTTTTGAGAATTCTCAACAGTCTTCTCTGCGCTCGCCTTGCTGGTCGAGTCGTGGGCTGATGTCGAACTGCCTGTTGGGGAGTGCGGCTGTCCTTTGAGTGACACGCCCTCCCTTTTCACCTGTTTTTGCTACTCCTTTCCCCGTCCTCACTTCCCATGGCAGCGTGTGTGGGCGCTCTTCTCTGCGCTCGCCTCGCTGGTCGAGTCATGGGCTGACGACGAGCTGCCAGGGGGGGATTGTGCTTGCCCTTGATTCTACCCTCCACCCTCCCATCTTTTCCTCTCCCCCTTTCCCCACCCCATTTTCCACAAAAGCGTGTGTGGGCGCTCTTCTCTGCGCTCGCCTCTCTCGTCGAGTCATGGGCTGACGATGAGCTGCCAGGTGGGGATGACGACGAGGAGGAGGAAGGGAAGGAGAAGGATGGGAAGGAGGCAGCGGGGGGGGAGGAGAGGAGTCGCCGGGCAGTGGAGGTAGCAGCGCCTGTGGCTCGTGTGCTGCGAGTGGCCTGGCTGAATGAACCCGTGAGTGTGTTGTGTCAGTCTGAATGTGATGCATGAGTGTCTCACATGACCTCCTGAAGGGGAGGAGTAGGGTGGGAGCGGGAAGGCAGCAGGGGCGGAGGAGAGGAGTCGCCGGGCAGTGGAGGTGGCAGCATCCGTGGCTCGCGTGCTGCGAGTGGCGTGGTTGAATGAGCCCGTGAGTAATATACCCACGAACACACCTTCTTTCCTTCTTGCAACGCATCCAAGAATACACCCCTTCGCTTCCCTGTTCCTCAGCAGTGGAGGTAGCAGCGTCAGTAGCTCGAGTGCTGCGAGTGGCATGGCTGAATGTGCTTGTGAGTAATTTCTGAGTCAGCGTGAAATTCTGTCGTCCTCCTCCAAACCTCCCCGATCCGCTGTGCTCTATGCACCCCTTACTTTCTCCCCCCCCACCCTTTCCTCTCCGCACCCTCCTTCTCTTCCCTTTCTTGACAGGTGGATTAATTTCATATTGAAGCCACAAGTGTCAAATCAGGAGGGCGAGAAACGACAGCAAGGAGCCGCCCCCCACTTCGTGTTTGACGCCTCTCTGCTGCTCTTGATCTTCTGCAGTCACTTCTACACCACCTAAACCTTCGGATTCCCTTCCTCCCTCCCATCTCCCTTTCTTCATCAGGTGGACCCATCCCTCGTGAAGCCACAGCCAGCAGTCGAGGAGGACGACAAGGAGCCGCCCCCTACCTCGTGGTTCGACGCCTCTCTGCTGCTCTCCTTCGTCCTCAAAGCGGCTGCCAATGCTCCAGCTGCACCTTCCTCCACCGCTGCCGCTACTGCTGCTGCTACAGCCGGTGCTACAGGCGGGGATGCGGCAGCGCTGGTGGTGCAGTGGGGGGTGGTGCCATTGCTGCACAAGTGGGTGGAGCTGGTAGCAGAGTGGACGGCATGGGAGGAGGATGAGGACGAGGCGGTGTTTCAGACGATTGACTCGCTGTTGCTGCTGCAGGTGAGTGGGTATGCGTGTGTTGAGCTGTTAGCGCCTTGGTGCTGCAGGTGAGTGGGTGCATGGGAAGTGAGTGCGTTGAGAGGTGGTGGCGCAGTGGGGAGTGGTGCCATTGCTGCACAAGTGGGTGGAGCTGGTAGCAGAGTGGACGGCATGGGAGGAAGATGAGGACGAGGCAGTGTTTCAAACCATCGACTCGCTGCTGCTGCTGCTGCAGGTGGGTGTGTTTAGAGGTGAGTGCGTTTTGAGAGAAGGGCGTTTTGAGAGGAGAGTCACTAACTTCATTTCCAGCACTCCCTCTTTTGCCACGCATGCCCCCTCCTCTTGCGCCCATGCTGTCTCCTTCTTTTCCCCACTCCTATCCTGCGCACACTTGACCCCATTTCCTCTACTTAAATTAAGCAATCCACTCGTGCAACTTACATCCTGATCCATGCCCTGCACTCCTTTCTGCTAATGTAATCCCTTCCAAATTTTTTACTCCCCTCCGCACACCTGACTTTCCTCCACACACCTGACTCCCCTCCACACACCTGACTCCCCTCCACACACCTGACTCCCCTCCACACACCTGACTCCCCTCCACACACCTGACTCCCCTCCACACACCTGACTCCCCTCCGCACACCTGACTCCCCTCCATACACCTGACTCCCTCCACCCTTCCCCTCTACTCACTTGAATCCCTTTCAGGGCCAGACACCACTACCGCTTATGCCCCTGCCACACTTGCTCGTGCCGTCTCCTTCTTTTACTCACACCCAATTTCCCTTTTACTCACTTGAATCCCTTTCAGGGCCGGACACCACTACCAGACTTCATATCCAGGGCCGCTCCACCCCCTCCTCTGCCGCCCGTGCCGCCCCGCTCCATCCTCGAAGGCATCGCATGCTTCGTCTCATCCGCACTATCCGACGGCTCTCCTGCTGCCACGTGGCGAGCATCCAGGCACTCTCACACGCTGCTGAATGCTGCTGCCGTGGCACTCAATGGGGGGGCAGCTGCCACTGCCCTGGCTGCGAGGTTTGCCGAGGTGAGGCAACGGGAAAGGGACAGGGAATGGGGAAGTGGGCGTTGAGAGATGCGCTAAAACTCGCTGCTGAATGCTGCTGCCGTGGCACTCAATGGGGGGCCTGCTGCCACTGCTTTGGCTGCAAGTTTTGCCGAGGTGAAGCAACGGGAAAGGGAAGGGGTGGGGAATGAGGGGGGGAACGGGTGGGGTGGGGGGGTGGGTGCGTGGGGTTTGGGAGAAGTGTCAGAACACGCTGCTGAATGCTGCTGCTGTGGCACTCAATGGGGGGGCTGCTGCCACTGCTCTGGCTGGGAGCTTCGCTGAGGTGAGGGAAAAATAGAGGGAATTTGGGGGAAAGGAGGGCAGGGGGGAAAGGGGGGGATGATGGGGGAAGGAAAGGGATATGAGTTGTGTCAAAACACACTGCAGAGTGCTGCTGCCGTGGCACTCAAGGGGGGTGCCTGCCGCTGCCGCATTGGCTGGACGGTTTGCCGAGATGAGGCAGAAAGAAGGGGGGAGAGTGGGGCCGGAATTGGGGGGAGGAGATGAGAGGTGTAGTTCTTGAGAAAGGAGTATTGGCGGGTTTTGCAGACCTCGCCTTCTTTCCCATTATCTTCTCATTCATCCACATGTCTCTCTCAACTAACCATTTTTCCCACCTCTTCCTCTCTCCCACCTCTCCCACCCACCCTCCGCCCCTCCTTAACCCCCTCCCTCACTCGTCTCTCCTCCGCGCCCTCCCTCTACGTCATCCGTTATATCACTAAGCCACTGCTCTATGCCCTCTTCTCCTCCCTCCTCGCCTCCCCCTCCTCCCTGCTCGCCCTCTTGCCCCTGTCCCACGTCCACATATTTCGCAATAATTTGTTTGTTCCACCTCTCCCTCATTCCTTGACCCCTCACAGGCGTCTCTCACTCGTCTCTCCACCGCGCCCTCCCTCTCCTCCATCCGCTACATCACCAAGCCTCTCCTCCTCGCCCTCTTCTCCTCCCTCCTCGCCTCCCTCTCCTCCGTCTTCCCCCTCCTCCTCTCCCCCGCCCCTGCTGGCGACAAGGGGAAGGGGGAGGCCGGGGAAGGGGAGGGGGAGAAGGGAGAAGGAGGGTTGAGGTTGGGAGTGGTGGTGCGCGCTGTAGAGAGCTTGCTGGCGCTACATGCGGAACCAGGGCTGGTTCTAGAATCGGAACTCAAGCTCACAGGTGGGTGGCTGGGTGGGCGGGTGGGTGTGTGGGTGGGTGGGTGAGTAGATGAGTGGATGGTGGGTGAGTGTGTGGGTGTTTGAGTAGATGGGTGGGTGGGTGAGGATATGAGTGGATGACTGCATGGTTGCATGCGGAGCCAGGGCTGGTTCTCGAGTCGGAGCTCAAGCTCACAGGTGGGTGGGTGGGTGGGTGGGTGGGCGGGCGGGCGGGCGGGCGGGCGAGCGGGCAGGCGGGCGGGCGGGTGGGTGGATGGGTGGTGTGGTTGTGAGTGAGTGGGTGGGTGAGTGGGTGTGTGTGCGGGTGGGTGTGCGGGTGGGTGTGCAAGGTGGTGGTATATGTAAAGCAGGTAATACTTGCGTGAGGCAAATCCCTGTGAAACGGGGCTGTTTACAGCCAAGCCACGAATTTGTATTCTGAGGGTCCTATAAAGAAAAGATTCCTAGTAGGTCAACTCAAAAGGCTTCTTTGCCCTGTAATGCCCCTTGCCCTTCTTTGCCCTGTAATGCCCCTTGCCCTTCTTTGCCCTGTAATGCCCCTTGCCCTTCTTTGCCCTGTAATGCCCCTTGCCCGTCACAGTGCTCGCCCTCACATGCCTAGTGCAGCAGTCAGCTACAGCAGCAGCAGTGACGGGTTCAGACCTGCCAGCCGCAGTGCTGGCAGCAGCAATGGCAGCGATGGTGCGACTGAAGGAGGTGAAGGAGGAGGCGAGCAGCATGGAAGGGAGCGAGGAAGAGGAGGAGGAGGAGGACGAGGAAGAGGAGGATGATGAGGACGAGGAGGAGGTAAGATTGAAGGCAGTGGTGCGATTTGTGATGTGTGCTTTGCAGCCGTATCAACAGTGGTGCTGGCAGCAGCGATGGCAGCAATGGTGCGACTGAAGGAGGTGAAGGAGGAGGCGAGCAGCATGGAAGGGAGCGAGGAGGGGGAGGAGGACGATGAGGATGAGGAGGAGGATGAAGAGGAGGATGAGGAGGTAATATAAGAGGCGGTGGTGTGCTTTGCTGTGACTATGTGCTTTGCTGTGACTATGTGCTTTGCTGTGACTATGTGCTTTGCTGTGACTATGTGCTTTGCAGCCCTGCCCTCGGCACAGCAAAGCACACCACCACCACCTGCGATACAAAGAGAAACGAAGCCTCTTATTTTCTCTTGACCCGTTTGCTCGCCTCTCTTCTCCCCCTCTGCCTGATGCCTCTGCCCTCGGCCTGCCCCTGCTGTTCATGCAGCACGCCTTGGACAAGAGTCTGACTTTTGAGACGTTGCAAAAATCGCCCCTGCCATTCATGCAGCCTCCGTTGGACAAGAGTCTGGACGAGGCAGAGCTGGAGGCGGCGCTGATGAGGAGGCAATACGCCGAGGCACCACAGGTGCTGCGCACCTCACCATAACGCATGCGCACCCTCTTTTCCGCTGCACGTGACTCCTCTTTCCCTCTGACCTATGCAGCCTGCGTTGGACGAGAGTCTGGGAGCTGGAGGCGGCGCTGATGAGGCGATACGCCGAGGCACAAGTGCCCGTCACTTTGACGCATGTGCTCGCCCACCTTTCCACCGCACGCGTCTCTTCTTTCCCCCTGACCCCATCCAGCCTGCGTTGGACGAGAATCTCGACGACGCTGGAGGCGGCGCTGATGAGGCGATGCAGAGGCACAAGTTCATCTCAGCATAACGCGTGTGTTCTCTTGTCCGCTGCTCTTCTCTTCTCCTCTGTTCGCCACTGCCATCCATTTAGCCTGCGTTGGACGAGAATCTCGACGATGCTGAGCTGGAGGCGGCGCTGATGAGGCGATACGCCGAGGCGGCGAAGATGATTGGCTCGCTGGAGGAGGACGAGGCTGACGTGGAGGATGAGTACGGGGTCGAACTGGAGCTAGGTGAGAGGGGTGCAGAGGGGTGCAGAGGGCTTTTGAGGCGCCTCAGAAGGAGGACGACGCTGTCGTGGAGGATGAATATGGGGTCAAACTGGAGCTAGGTGAGAGGGGTGGGCTCAGAGGGGAGTGCTTGGTTGGGTGTGGATGGGGAGGGCATAGAACTGCGTTCAAGGAGTGACGTGGAGGATGAATACGGGGTCAAACTGGAGCTAGGTGAGTGGGGAGAAACGAGAAAGGAAACCTGAGCACCTCAGCATGATGCATCCCAACCCCCCCCACGTCATGCTCTCACCAAGCTCACACAGCTGGCAACGAAGTAGCAGGCAGAAGTGAGGGCGTGTCTGCAGCAGCATTGGGCTGCTCTCGCTTCCCTGCTACTCCGTTGCCGTTCGATCCCATCACTCGTCGCTTCACCCTCCCTCGCTCCCGGGCAAGCCCTCGTTTGGAGCAGCCCTTTCTCTAAGCCCTCCCTTGAGCTCCCCCCATCACCCTCCCCCCCACCACACGCCCTCACAGGGCTGCAGGACGAGCAGGCAGTCATCAGGGCGTGCCTGCAGTAGCGCCGGTCCTCCCTTGCTTTGCACATGCTTACTTTCACCCCATTACTCTTTTGAGTCGATTCAAAAGTCATCAGGGCGTGCCTGCAACAGCACCGGACCTCCGTTGCTTTGCACATGCTTATTTTCACCCCATTGCTCTCCCCGTCACCCGCCCGCCCTTTCACTGTAGGCCTCACAGGGCTACAGGACGAGCTGGCGGTTATCAGAGGATGTCTGCAGCAACACTGGGCTGCTCTAACTTAATCACGTGCCTCATTTCATCCCATCACTCTCCCCTTCATCCTCCCTCCCCCACCAGGCCTCACAGGGCTACAGGATGAGCAGGCGGTTATCAGAGCGTGTCTGCAGCAGCACTGGGCTGCGCTGGGCCGCCAAGTCGTGGCACTCAAGCCATCGCTCTCCACCGACTTCGCCCAGGCCTTCCCTCCGGCCAAGCCATTCCTTCTCTGAGATGATTGTCAGGTCAGGTCCCTCTATTTTGCTTCTAAGTTTGCTTAAGCCAAGCTGGTTCTGCTGCCGGGCAATCACTCACTAATAGTACCGTAAGCCACCAGTTACATAACCTAGTGTTAACGTTTGATTAATATCATGTAATGTACAATGTTTGAAAGATGCTCTGCAGTACGCCTTAGGGGATTAATAAATGTCCCTCAAGTTTTGGCAGCAACACTGGCCTGTTCATGATGTCATGTTTTGATCTGAATGGTAATATTGTTCATGGCCTGTTCATTGTCTCTATAAGAAATCGTAGCATCAGCTAAAGTTCAGTACATTGTACAGTGATAATAACCAACTGAGGTCAAAGGAGTGCAATTCGGTCAACCTCGCCAAAACCCGAACCCCTTGGAAAACCTGCACCTGTTTCGTCAACCTCGCCAATTCAGCCACACGTCACCTGTTTTGTTGCAATGCTCCCTCCCTCCCCCCTTCATCCCCATGAAGCACATGCGCGCGCAAAAGGCGGTCGCGAGAACAAGGCTGCGCAACGGAAAGCTAGGGCGAAAACTGCAACTTTCAAGCATGAGTGCCGCAACTACAGTATCACATGTTTCACAGCACCTTCCTTCTCGACAGAATCGCAAGGACACGAGCTAGATTACCTCGATTAGGCGCACGCCGTTCGAAGCAGACGGGACACCTGTACTAGTCGCGGTAACCGCGTTCAGCGCGGAGCTCTGCGCAAGCATTATCATGGGTTTCTCAACGCGGAACACCCAGCAGCGTAACCTGCGGCAAATGCAGCGCCAATGCCGGCAGCAGCGCTGGGAATCAGCCGCAGCAGGCTCGTTGTCAGGCACAGAGCGACGAAGACGACGCGCCGCTACTATTCGTGTTATTTCTGATACTACTCGTAGTAACGGAATATCAGCAATGTCGTGTTATCATCATGACGCGTCGCGTAAGATTCCACAGACACGTGTCAGCAGCGTCGACGTCCGCGACTCGACGAACGAATCCACCTTGGAGTTGACGACCGCGAAGGTGTGTCTGTCGGAGCTGTTAAAAAGGGCGACAGCCGTGAACCCAGCGCGACGCGCGGCTCCGACGGACACATCCTCGCTGCGGCAAGAGCGGTCGGAGCAGCAGGCGCGACGAAAGCAGCAGCGGCGGCGATCGAAAATAGAGCCGCAACGGCGGGGGACGAAACAACAGACTGCTGAACGGAGCCCGCAGCAGCAGCAGGAGAAATCAGCAGCAGTCCTTTTCTGCGCGAATAACGGCCAATCGACGCAAGAAGCAGAAGTTGTTCTCAAGACTCGCTGTCGGAGTCAAGAACTTCAAGGAAGCGCCGCCGCGGCATTCCCGTCGTCCCTCCCGCCCATCCCGCCGTCCCTCCTGCCGGACTGTCTGTCCCACGCGCTCGCCCTTCTCTCCCACGCCTCCACCTCCGCCGACAATATCCGCCGCGCGGGCCAAGCGTGCCGCGAATGGCGCCGCGCGTACCGCCACGCCGTGCGGCATCTCTCCCTCGCCTTCGACCCGCTCCAGCTCCGCTGGAGACCCGTGCTTCGCGGCGCCGAACGCGCTGGCGGATCGGGCAACGCCGCCGCCGCGAGCAGCGGCGCCAGGGGTGGCGGAACGCTCGGCAGCTGCTGCTGCCGCAGTCATGCGGCACGGCAAAACAACGGAAAGACTCAACCCAACGAGGCGTGGGATCAGATTCCGACAAGCAGCAGGAAGAGCAGCAGCTGCAGCTGCGGAAGTGGCGAGTGGGACCCGTGGTCGTCCGCGCTGTGGGTGCTCGACGACCCGTCCACGTGGCAGCTTGGAATGGCCGACTCGGACTCCGAGTCCGCTTCAGACTCCGCCTCTGCCAGAGCCTCGGCCTCAGCCTCGGATTCGGTATCGGAATCGGACTCGGCCTCTGCCTCTGCCTCTGCCTCTGCCTCTGCCTCTAACTCGGTCTCCTCGTTGAGCATTTCCACGCCGTTGTGCGATGGCCCTGCAGCGCCGCCTCCTACCACTCCTCCTTCTCCCATTTCTGCTGCTACTACTTCTTCTCCTCCTCTTAGCGCCACCAGCAGGCGGAGGTTCGCGCGGCGGGTGCTGCAGCTGGAGCGGAACGAGGGGCACGAGTGCTACCCCACGAGAGAGGAGCTGCGCGTGGGTTACCACTGCATGGCCGAGCACGACCAATGGTTGTATCACCATGCGAATGGCACCTGCTGGCATGCTGACATGCCGTCAGCGCGGCAGGTGGCCGATTTGTTGCTGCAGTTCCCTAATCTTGCGTCTGTGCGCGTGCCACTGCGTGGTGACGTGGACTCGGGCCCCGGTGACGTCAGGATGGTGCTGGACGCGGTGGCGGGGCTGGGGGCGCTGAGGAGCTGCCACGTGCAGGCTGACGTGGCAGGGTGGGTGGAGCGGGAAGAGCGATGTGGGTGGCGCCGGGATGCGGAGGCGGCGGAGGAAGAGGAGGAAGAGGAGAAAGAGATAGCACGAGAGCGAGAGAGGCGGTGGGCTGAAGAAGATGGTATGGTTGTAAAGGTTGCAGCTAGGGAGCTGGTGGCAAGGCGTGGGAGAGAGATCAGGCGAGCGAGGAAGGAGGCGAGGAGAGAGCAGGAGCGGCAGCAGCGGCGGAAGGAAATGAGCCGTGCTATTGAAGCAGGGCTATTGGGTGTGGTCTCAAGGTGTAAGCGTCTACATTCGCTGCATCTTCAGGGGGACGGCTTGGGCTCGTTCCTGAACCTCTCCCCCTGGTTCTTTGACCACTGCCACCGCATCCGATCCCTCTCCCTCCCTCTCTCGCACCTCCCTCACTCCCTCCTCTCCCTCCCCCGCCTCACCTCTCTCAATCTCGCCCTCGGTGGCGGTAACACCCATACCAGTGGTAACAGTGGTTACAGTGGTAACCGCAACTGCGTGCCAGCTGTCCTCCTGTCAGGGTCGCCCTTCAGTACACTCACATCTCTGAAAGAGCTGCAATTGAGGGTAAGGCTGGCTGGGAGAGGGGTTCGCCTGTCCCAAGATCTGTTTCTGGGGCTGGAGCCTCGGCTCCAGAAGCTGACTCTGCTGCACTCTCCCTGCGGCAGTGGCAATGGCGATAGCGACAGCAGTGGTGATGGGGATGGGGATGGTGACAATGGGGAGCGTGGGGATGGTGACTGTAACGAGGTGGTGGTTATGGTGATGCCTGGGTCTGCCTGGCGCCTGTCACAGCTGCAGGAGCTGGAGACGTCGTTCCGAGTGCCGTTTGATGATGACTGGGAGGAGTTCGAGGAGGGACGTGGCGTGTGGAGCCATTATCTAGGACTCACAGAGGAGGTCCCGGATGAGGAGGAAGAGGAGCAGCAAGGAGCTGCAGCTGCAGCTGGAGCAGCAGCAGCAACAGCAGCAGCAGCAGCAGCAGCAACAGCAGCAGGAGCAGCAGCAGCAGGAGCAGCAGCAGGAGCACCAGCAGCGGCACCAGCGGCGGCAGCAGGCGGGTCAATTCTAGGCCTGGGGCCAATTCAAGGGCTGGCGTCATTGCCTCGCCTCTCCTCGCTCACCCTCCGCTCCTCCCGCAGCCTGCCCCCATCCATCCGCCATCTCCACCACCTCACCCGCCTCCTCGCCCCCAGAGCCCTCTCCGACGCCACAGAATCCCTCCCCTCCCTCTCCACCCTCCAAGTCCTCTCCATGATGGCCGATAAAATCACTGCCGGTGGGCCGTTACCAGCCTCCCTGCGGCGGCTACAGCTGCGCTACAACCAGTGCAGCCTGCTGCACGCAGCAGGGCGAGCAGCCAGGTCAGTAGAACACCTGGAAGTGACTGCCGTGGGGGCAGGCGGGCAGGACTCATGCGTGTATGGCGACTTAGTCCCTACGCTTTCCCCGCATCGCTGGGACCCAGCGTGGAGGGGCGAGGGAGACCGGTTCTCGTTCCCAAACCTCCGAGAGCTGATTGTCACCAAGTGCTGGGGGGGGGCTATGGAGATAGACATGGGGCCTCTCCCGAGCCTCACGCACCTGTCGGTGTTTTGGTCCGTGCGACTGCATGGGATTGACCAGGGATGGTACTCCAATCTCCGCTTCTTGCATTTGTACCAGCCGCTCCCGGATTGCCACTGGGAAGGGAAACCTGAGGGGGGGCTAGGCTCGCGGAGTCTCTTCTCCCACCTGCCGAAGCTGCACACGCTCGTGGTTGATAACTGCTGCCAGCTGGGCGGCAGGGAGATGCTCGCGTCCCTGTCAGCGCTGACTCAGCTGCACACGCTGCGCCTGTCAGTCATCAGGCAGGAGATCTGGACAGATTCGACTCGCGTCGAGGTCCCCTGGTGGGACTGGAGGTATATACATCTTGACCACTATTACCGCTATGGAGTGAGCCACTTAAAGCCAGTGATTGCCTGCCCGGCGTCCCTCCGTGTGCTGCAAATTGCCAAGTGCGACCTGCCTTTTCTCCCTCCCTCCCTCGCCTCTGCCACCGCGTTGACTGAGTTGACTCTGCACCACTGGAATAACCTCCAAGTGCTGCCGTCCTTCCTCGCCTCGTTTACTGAACTGAGGAGGATTCGGGTGACTGCGTGTGGGGAGAATAAGCCGAGTGCGCCGCCCAGCTTGCTTCCCCTGTTGAAGGACAGGAACTGGTTTTTCTTCTGTGGACTGTGACGGCTGTAGGGACCTGCACAAGCGTGAGCCATGCCATGAGTGAGGCACCCAGCCTGCTTCCCCTTTTGAAGGATAGGAACTGGTTTCACTTTGTGGACTGTGATGGCTGTGGAGCGTGAGCCATGACACCCAGCCTGCTTCCGCTGTTGAGGGATAGGAACTGATTCCGTTCTGTGGACTGTGACAGGTGTAGGGATCTGCACAAGCATGAGCCATGGCATGAGTGAATGAGGAATGTGCGGTTCTTCTCTGGAGGCAGCGTGGGTTGTGTTTTGAGGCGCCTCAAAATCGTCAGCCATACTACCGTCGAAGAAGGGTCGAGGTTCTTGAGGCTGCATGGGTTGTGTTGTGTTGGGGGAATCGTGATTCTTTCTGACCGAGCATGATAGTGACTTTTGAGTCGACTCAAAAGTCACCTCGTTGATTGTGTTGTGTTGGGGGGATCATGATTCTCTCTGACCGAGCATGACAGTCTTGCTTCTGCTTGGTCTCATCTCGTCTCATCTCATCTCAACAAACTGCCTGCTTCAGACTTCTGAGGTTAGTCCAAGCTCTGATCCCTCCCTATAGACACTCTCAACGCATTCTCTATCACACGATTATGCTTATCCCATGCCGTGACTAATGTACAGAGTCTCCAGTACCGGAACCTCAAGTGGGTGAGTGCTGAATGAATGGAAGGAAACGGCGCTGGCATTGTTTGTTCACAAGTTATGGCACGTGTAAGGTGCAGCACTACTCCACTCCACCTAGAATACAACTTTACAGGGTGAAGATACATGCTTATTACCGCATGACCATTCTGTTTCTCTACAGTCTCCACAAGCACAAAATAATGTCAGTAAACAAACAAAGCAGATGTAGGTGTACAGTATTAGCTGCACACTCCACCTACAATGATGCAGGGTGAGTGAGGGTATGCTTATTATGACATTCTACGTCCTCTACAGTTTCCACAAGCACAAGATAATGTCTGCAAACAAGCAGAGCAGATGCTGGTAAGGTAACAGCTTCAATTTCCCTCAGACGTAACAAAATGTTGGCAAAGTGGCTATAGCCTTGTTGCCCACATGGTGGGCAAAACATATCCCGCCAACCGGATTCGAACCAGTGACCTAAGGATTGCTCAACTACAGTCCTCCGCTCTACCAACTGAGCTATAGCAGGATGCACTTCGATTCAGAAGAAACATTTAAAATATTTAGAATCTCTTCATTCTGCACCTTCCATCGCCGTCTTGACCGTTGTCCAGCCATGGCGTCGCCACTAGCAGGCAAGCCACCACTCCCCGTCAAAGTCCAGTCCACTCGTCCTTGCTCGCTCCTCCGTCTTCCCACTCTTTTCTGCGTTATCCCTCCTGCATTCTCATCTCTGTTGGGCTAGGCTGGAACTGCTTCAATAAATGCGGGGAGATGCAATGCCATTTGGGGTTGTTGGTGCCTTGAACCATTTTGACGTGCCGGATCTCGGCCGGAAGTCTCAATCATTCTAGAGTCCCCTTTGCAGAATACGAAAGATGCGTATATCTATCGTCGCCGCATAGGCACCTCCCCCGCTTCTATGTGACCAGCTTACCCTGCTAGAAGCACTCATTCCGTTCCCTCTCCTCCCCTCCCCCTCCACAATTCCACACCTTTGCTTCTGCCTTTCTGCTCCATCAGACCTGCCGGCGCGGCTCCGTCTCTTAATAGTCGCGCCGCTTCTCAAGCTATGGCGGCGGCGCGGGGAGCTGATCGCAGCTGCGAAGTCCAACCCCACGGCTCTAATATCTGCCGGCGCCGCTCTAGGCGTCTTTCTCGGAACCTTCCTCGTCGGCCCGCTGCTCTTCGCCCCTCCGCCGCTCCTCCCGCCATCCCACTTCCCCACCAGCCACCTCATCCCCGCTATACGCGAATTCGCCGATCCGGAAATCGTAGACCGATGCGTCGCTATAGCTGAAGGCGCTCCGGGGTCGCTAGCACGGTCGTTCTCCCAGGCGAGTCAGGACTGGCTACTATTTCACAACTACTTCCGACATATTCCGTACGGCTCGGGCGTGTATGTAGACATAGGATCTAGTCATCCCGAGCATTTCAGCAACACTTACTTCTTCGACCGGTGCTTAGGCTGGCGCGGGTTATGCGTGGAGCCAAACCCTAAGTATTATCACCAGTATGCGAAGTATAAGCGGACGTGCACTGTAGTTCCCGCGTGCGTTTTGGACAGAAACGCGACTCTTAAAATGGATTTCCAAGGCGGGATGTACGGGAGGGTGACTAAGGAGGATCCGTCTGGAGCAGCAGCAGGAGGGGCGGCAGGATCGACGGACGACAATGAGATCGAATTCAATCGAATTCAATCCTGGTCCTGTTCCACGAGGCTATGCCCGATGCCGTCCGTTGGAGGAGATTCTAGACGAGCATTCGATCCACACCGTTGATTTCGCGAGTATAGACGTGGAGGGCGCGGAAGCCTCAGCACTTCACTGCTTTCCATTCCGATCCTATGACATCCGAACCTGGCTTGTAGAAACGGATAAGGCCGGGAAGGACTTATATCGAATCTTCATGCGTGCTGGGTACGCGCTTATAACGGAAGTTCTCTGCCCTCAGAACCGGCTACACTCCGCCTTGACCCACATGGGCGTGAAACTCGACTCAATTTTCCGGCGAGTTTCCCCTGGACCCTTCCCACCCTCCAGCGGCCCGGGTAAACTCGAAACTACACCCGAAACCGTCGCCAGTGCCCCCCCTGGCGCCAACTCTTCCGAATCCGCGCCTCCGCCTCCCCGTCCGCGCCCCCCCTTCCGCCAGCAACCCCCTGTGTTCCCCTCAGGGGACTTTGTGTATGGCCCAGCGTGGTTGCCGGGGGGGGAGAGGGCGGGAAAGGGGCCTGAACCGTCTTGCAAGCACAAGGCACCGTGTGAGGAGCAGGTGCCGCATTTGGAGGTGGAGGAGGTGGAGGAGAGTAGCTTGAAGCTGAAGCTTGGGACGTGCAGGCGAGGGGGCATGGCCATGTCTGTGGACCCGGTTGCCTATAGAGGGTGATTTTGTAACGAGGATGGGGTGGGATTGCAGGGTTGTGAGGAGCAGGTGTGGCATTTGGAGGTAGAGGAGGTGGAGGGGAGTAGCTTGAAGCTGAAGCTGGGGACGTGCCCGGCAAGGGGGAATGCGCATGTCTTTGGAACCGGTCGGTTATAGAGGTTGGTTCTATAACGAGGATGGGGTGGGGAAGGGCTGTGAGGAGCAGGGGCCACATTTGAAGGTGGAGGAGGTGGAGGAGACTAGCTTGGTTGAAGCTGGAAACGTGCAGGCGAGGGGGAATGGCCATGTCCGTGGACCCGGTTGCGTACAGAGGGTGATTGTGAAGCGAGGACGGGGTGGGGTGGGATGGGGTGGGCAGGGGTGTGGGAGGAGCAGGTGCCGAATCTGGAAATAGAGGAGTGAGGAGAGCAGTCTGAAATCGAAGTGGGGATGGGGTGAGCAGGGGCTGAAAGGAGCGGGTTCTGCATTTGGAGGAGGAGGAGGTGGAGGGGAGCAGTTGGAAACGAGGTGACTTTTGAGTCACTCAAGAGTCACCTTGGTTTTGCATTTGGAGGAGGAGGTCGGGGAACGCATTCGGAAAGTGAGCTGGATCTCCCATGTCTGTGGTGTGGATTCAGTTGCAGGCATAAGGTGCCGTGTGAGGAGCAGGTGGTGCATTTGGAGGCTGAAGCGGTGGGGGAAAGCAGTTGGAAACTGAGCTAGATCTTTCATGTATTGGTGTGGATTCAGTTGCAGGTACCGTAAGAGCGGCATTTGAGGCGCCTCAGAAGTTGTCTGGATCCAGTTGCGGGAAAGAACTGGCTAGCTGCTGTAACGGCGATGAAGAGTGTGCGTGCATGTGGACTGGGTTTTCAGTCTTGGGTTTGATGATGAGGTGGAGTAGAAAGCAGTGGTAGGCTGGTACCGTAGCTACCTAGTCAATTCTTGGTAGATACGGTAGTCACAATAAAGCCCCGTTCATCATGTTTGGTTGGTCGCAAGCTCATCATTGAAGTAGTAGGTAACAGACACAAGAAACGCAAGGTAAATCTCCCTGAACCCATGACATGAAGTAATGTCGAGAGTTTCAAAATTTCAATGTGCGTTACATGTCTCTGTGACCAAACGCGATAGCATTCTGGGGCAAGGCGTGACAATCCGTGATAGTGCTGGCATCACCCCGATAGTTACTAACTGTACTGTGACTGTCCGTGATACCCAAACTTGATAGAATATTATAAAATTTGGTACGGTCGGCATGAAGAAAAAGCGATTACACTTTTATATTTTAGTTTAATAATATTCATTCGACTTTCGTCCTGCTATAGCTCAGTTGGTAGAGCGGAGGACTGTAGTTGAGCAATCCTTAGGTCACTGGTTCGAATCCGGTTGGCGGGACTTTTGTGGCCTTTTTCAGTTAGCCCTTGCGGCTGTGGCCCGTTGCGGGTCTCTCGCATTTTTTGGACCATAGTGCTGAGGTTATTTGCCGAACATCTAACACGCCGTAAACGGCGGCATAGTCACCGTTCACCGCCAACATGCCATTTTCAGTTTTATCGACAACAAGGTTTACAGACTCACCAGTGGCTTTTCTTTTCCGATCACCAATAATTACTCCTTCCCTACGCGCTCAGCGGCAGCATGTGTATTGCCGAGCGATGCCGGGGAGAGAAAAACGGGGGAAAGACGACGACAGCAGAGCGGCACTTCATGATACAGAAAGCACAGACGTCGAGTATCGTTCAGACTCAGAAGCTGTGACGCCGGACATGACGAATAATCCTACGGCCAGGATGCAGCGGGGTGCGTCTGGTCACCAGGAATCGACGAATCTAGGCCGTCCGAACATCTTACCTGAGAAAGTCCCTTGGAGGATTCGAAGTCGGATGGCCGTCGGACCGAAGATGCAAACCCTAATGGACGTTACCATGAGGCTTCAAATCCTGGCCGTTGATCGGCAGCAGCAGAACCTTGCAAATCTTGCCAGGAAACAGAGACAATTGCGAAGGCAGCTTCTCAGGGAGCCTGCTGTGCGAAACCTTGTGCGAAAAGGGCGGTTGTTACAGGACGAGGCGGTGGTTCTGCACGGGGAGATTATGTCGAGCGTGCCTGTAAGGAGAGTGACTGCATGGGTGCACCAGTGGTGGGAGGGCTTGAAGGTGCTGGATCGATACTTGCTGCTGGAGCTGCTGCAGCCGCTGCTGCTGGGACTGTCCGCGTTCACTCTTCTGGCACTCTCCATAGGTGAGTCGGGAGAGGGCAGGGGAATCAAGGGAGGTTGTGAGATTATAAGGAGGATGAAGGGTGTGGGTGGAATGGAAACTGAGGGTGCTTGCAGCCGGGCCGCTGTTGCTGGGGGGCTGTCACCGTTCGCTCTTATCGCACCCTCCATAGGTGAAGAGCTACGAAGCTGTTACCAACCAACCGCTTGTGAAAGCTTTGCCCGTCTCTCGGTCCCCTGCAATGCTTTTGTTGATGCACCCAGCCCTCCCTGTTTCCAATCCAAGCTTCCCCTTCCCCTATTCCCCTGACACATCCCCCCTCTCCCCCGCATGCCCTTCCAGCGACCGCCCACGAGGCCATGCCAGTGTTTCAGTCCGCCGACCTGCCGTGCCATCCATCACCCACAGGGCCTTCTTTACACCGCAGATCGTGCTGCTTCCATGCCTGCCGTCCCCACTTCCCCCCATCTGCTTCCCTTCCCAGCGACTGCCCCTGAGGCAATGACCGTTTTTCAGTCTGCTGCGCTGCCATCGGTCATCCACAAGGCCTTCTACACACTGCAGATCGTGCTGCTGCGCACCCCTGTAAGTGCTGCTCCGCGTCCCGGTAAGCGAGATGACTAACGAGTTCGAATAGAAAAGGTCCTTATTAGTGATTCGGTCTGCTGCGCTGCCATCTGTCCGTCATGCACAAGGCCTTATACACACTGCAGGTCGTGCTGCTGCGCGTCCCTGTAAGCCAGATGGCCTTTGAGTCGACTCAAAGGTTTGTGTCCTAGTTTGCTGCCCTGCCAACTATCATTCACAAGGCCTTATACACACTGCAGATCGTGCTGCTGCGCGCCCCTGTAAGCGCCATTGTGATCCCATTTGACTAATCTGCATTAGCTTCTGCTTTGATATCTTCATTTCCTGCTTTTCATATAGTTTGCTTACATGTTAATTCGTTAAATACAATCCAAAACTGATTCAATACAAGCCATCACCCAGAGCTCCCACTCCCACTCCCCGCTTCCTGCTCCCCGATCCTCCCATCCCCGCATCTTCCCATCCCACTGCAGTTCTACGTGGGGCTGACTCTCCCCATGGCATCACTCTTGGCGTCGCTGCTCTGTGATGCCTCGAGCTGAATTCTGAGTCGAATCAAAGGACAGCCCCTCATCCCCCGTCTCCTCCCCATCACTGCAGTTCTACGTGGGGCTGACTCTCCCCATGGCGTCACTTCTGGCTGTGCTGACTTAATTTTGGCAACTTTGAAAAGTGACACAAGCATATTCCATCGCCCCCCTCCCCCCACCGCCCCCTGTATGCACCCTTCTCACCGCAGTTCTACGTGGGGTTGACTCTCCCCATGGCATCACTACTCGCACCGCTGCTCTGCCTTGCACGCATGTCATCCGACAATGAGGTCGTGGGTACAACCCCCTCGCTCTTCCCCCCCCCACCCCTCTCTCGTGCTCCTTGCAATCACATGAATACACCTCTCATGCGTTCCATCCATGGCATGTCGTCCCACAAAGAGGTCGTGGGTACTCCTTTCCCGCTCACACCTTGCCTCACCCCATGCCTTGCCCCTCCCACCCATTCTTTGCTCGCGTCACTCACCTTTTGATGGCCTGAAACCCTTCCATAGCATGCCCCCTTCCTCTTTCCTCACCGCACAACGCCGTCTACCTACCTCCTGCCTTCCTTAATGCTCATTCTTCCCTCTCGTCCCTCATGCCCCTCTGCCCTCTCCCCTCTCGCCCTCACTCTGCGGTGTGCCATTCAAGCATCGGCCATACTCCCTTTGACCCTTTTATCTTCACTCAAATTTGAAAGGTTCGAAGAAAGCGTCTGCCATACCCCTGAGCTGCGTATTCAATCGTGGCTCACCTCCCCCTTGCACTCTCTCTTTTCACCTCCCTCTCTCAAACGCTGCCACCCCACCCACAGCCATCCGCGCATCAGGTATTCGCATGACGCGCTTCCTCACTGTCGCTGCTCATCTCTTCCTCGCCTGCACTCTGCTGCACTACACATGGGCTGAGGTATGCATGTAGCACTGTACGCACGCCTCTCGCCATGTACCCATCCCCCACCTGTTGAACCCTTCACCCACCGCCATCCCATTGACATCGTTGGGGGTCCCCTCACCCTCATCATCTCCCCTCCATTATTTTCCTCCCGCCGCTCATCACCCCTCCGCTTTTTTTGTTCCACCCTCATCACCTCCCCTCCACAAATTCCCTCCCACCCCCATCACCTCCGTTCTACTATTTCCCTCCCACCCCTCATCACCTCTCCTCCAAATTCTCCCAGCCACTCCTCATCACCTGCCCACCACCATTCTCCTCGCTTTCCTCCACGTCCTCACATCACACATAGCCAGGCTGCCTGTGCTGCACTGCTGCACAATACATCTGATGAACCCTTTCGCCCTTTGTCACCCCTTCCGCACCCCTCACCCATCATGACCTCTCATCACCCCTCATCACCGCTGCAGCTCCTCGCTCCATTCACCAACCACCGTGCATCTCGCATGGTCAGGGCGGTGCGTTCTGCTCGCTCATCCCACCACCTGCACCAACTCCTCTCCGTAAGTCTCCCCTTCCTACCACCACCCTCCAGCACATGTCTATCTGCTCTGCTCGCTCATCCCACCACCTGCACCAGCTGCTCTCAGTATGTAGGCCTTGTCTAGCAGCTGCTAAAAAATCACGCTCAAATTGCCCCAAGGCCCAATATCCCTTGAGATCTTCCTCCTCACGCCCCGCAGCTCCCTTGCCAACACCACCCTCGCGTCACCACCCACGAACCCAACCCCAACCCAACTTCTACAGTGATTCTGACAATTTGTCTACACCCCACAAGCGAGTAACTGAATGTATTGTCAAACACCTAGATATTCTGTGACATTTGTGCACCACCACTGCGCGTGTGCAGGTCAAAGGGCGTCAACGGCAGCACAAGGCAAACATGCGTTACCCCATTGTGTTCCCCAGCTTCAGGTGAGGTTTTGGGAGAGCACAGTAGGGGTAGCTTCACGTGTGTTGACCCTGAATGCAAGAAAACCCTTGCGAAGGAAATTCAAGCAGTAGATTCAAGCCCGCACCAGTACGAATTCCCCCTCTGTATTGCAAATGCCTTTGTGTTCCACTTGCACTCACCTCCACGGAGCCCCACTCTGCCATTCCTTTACATTTGCTTCCAACTTCCAAGTCCTTTCAAGTTCCTTCCGTTGTGGTCCACTGGTCCACTGGCTGCAAGAGTGAGAGGCTTGAATGTCTCTTTTATGACAGAGGATGGATGTGACCGTGGGCCAATGCAGCAAGTTTTACCTTTTCAGGTGCCTTTTGTTTCCTCTTTTCTTTTCCTTTTCTGTTGTGGTCCCCTGGTTGTTGTGACAGCAAGAGTGGGGAACTGCGCTCTCTCTTCTACTCCAGGCGATGTGAACACGGGGAGATGCAGCAAGTCACACTCGTGGACCAGAGCAGAGCCAACACTGACCACATGCAGAGCAGAGCCAACACCAACACCAGCACCAAGCACGTGCCATCCTCCCCCATCTCATTACAATCACCATCCTTGCAGTCACCATCATCTGCATCCTTTACAGCCTCTCTACCACCCGCCTCACTACAACCCTTGGTGCCGCCGTCATCACCGTCGCTATCTCCAACGCCATTCGCACCATCGCCATCACTATCCACGTCATCATCTTCAGCATCATCATCATTAGCATCCGGCACGCATGCAGATGCAGCAGGCGGTGTGGTTCGGGTCATTGCTGCCGAAAGTGCTTCTTGGGTCCCTCCCTCACGCCCCTCCTCCCGCTTCCCCTTCTCCTCCTTCCTTCTAAGAACCCTCAATCTGGGCCACTCAACGACCAAGCGCGGTCAGGCACCAGCTTACCGACCAGGCCACTGGTTTTTTGTCAATGGCATAGAGCACGTGCTTGTTTCCTCATCTGCCGTGTACCTCTCCTCGTCTGCCTTTCACAACAACACACTGACCAGTGAGCAGTTGCACGCCCCACTGACATCACTATCACCGCTGCCTATTGGTGAGCAGGGGAAGGTGCAAGGGCATGCCAATGATCAAGGGCATTCAGGTTTGCATCAGCAACAGCAGAGTGCCCAAGCAGCAGCGATCGGGAATACAGAGAGCGGGGGAGTAGTGGCTGGTGGAGGGGGGCAGCAGGCGAGCAGGAGGCAGCAGCGAGGCAGGGGTGGTGTGGGAAGGGCGCATGGTGGGAGGTCATTGCTGCCGAAAGTGCTTCTTGGGTCCCTCCCTCACGCCCCTCCTCCCGCTTCCCCTTCTCCTCCTTCCTTCTAAGAACCCTCAATCTGGGCCACTCAACGACCAAGCGCGGTCAGGCACCAGCTTACCGACCAGGCCACTGGTTTTTGTCAATGGCATAGAGCACGTGCTTGTTTCCTCATCTGCCGTGTACCTCTCCTCGTCTGCCTTTCACAACAACACACTGACCAGTGAGCAGTTGCACGCCCACTGACATCACTATCACCGCTGCCTATTGGTGAGCAGGGGAAGGTGCAAGGGCATGCCAATGATCAAGGGCATTCAGGTTTGCATCAGCAACAGCAGAGTGCCCAAGCAGCAGCGATCGGGAATACAGAGAGCGGGGAGTAGTGGCTGGTGGAGGGGGGCAGCAGGCGGCAGGAGGCAGCAGCGAGGCAGGGGTGGGTGGGAAGGGCGCATGGTGGAGGCATGGCAGCAAGGGCAGAGGCAGACTGCAGCAGAGGGGGGGAACAGCTAGGGGTAGGCACGAGTGGGGGCGGCAGCAGCAGCAAGGAGAGAAAAACAGAGGGCAGCTTGAATCAGCTGAAAGACCTGTGGCAGCAGCAGCATGTGTGCCAGTAACAACAAGCGTGGCACAAGGCTCGCAAGCAGCACCACCAGCTGAGGACCAATATCAGATTCAGCAGCAGAGCAGCAGCATGAGTGCAGTGAAATGGGTGGCACCAGAGGCAGCGTTGAGCTAAACAGGCCATCGTGGGTGCTTGCAGCGGCGCGGCCGTTCACAGAGCATCGTGAGTCTCCCTCCATACACTCCGGCTTGGCTCAACCAAGTACACTCCGTGCATAATTTCCATGATTTCTACCGTGCTGTGCTATCATCCGAGTTCATCGGTCAAGCCAAGCCCATGAGTGCGCACGCTGTAGCTCATGCAGATTCCCTCTCGATTGTTACACCCGAGACATAACGGATGGCAGATGGAATATGGAAGATGGCAGGTGGCAGGTGGCAGGCGCACTTTTGAGGCGCCTCAAAAATGGCAGGCGCACTATGGATGAGCGTTGCCGCTGATGGTGCACATACTCCCAGCCTTCCTCACTGATCCTCACAGTTTCTGATTGCTCTTCTCTTTGCAGGGGAATTTACCCTTGATCGTGGACCGCTGGACCTGGCAGAGGCGGACAGCAGTCGCAGTTTGGCAGAGGCTGTGACAGCATGTGGTTCTCCAATCGTGGTTTGCCAATCGTGGTTCTCCATCCCCTCTCAATGTCACTCATTGCATCTCTTTTTGCAGGGGAATTTACCCTCGATCGCAGACCGCTAGACCTGGCAGAGGCGGACGACAGTCGCATTTTGGACGACATGCCTCTGCTGCAGGTGGTGCGGCGATCTTCAAGCCGATCGAACTGCGGCAGAACATTCAGAAATTTGTTCCCCCGTGGAACACAAGAGACATGGCAGATGCAGTGACATGACACGGCACCAATCATGGTTCTCCATACATCCCCTCTCAATCTCACTCATGTATGCAGAAGAATTTACCCTTGATCGAGGACCGCTAGACCTGGCAGAGGCGGACGGCAGTCGCAGTTTGGACGACATGCCGTTGCTGCAGGTGGTGTGCCTGCAGCGGCTGTACCAACGCTGTTGCAATGACCGGGAGGCCACAAGGATACTGGTGAGAGGGGTCGGTGGGTGTGTGTGTGTGAGTGGTGTGTGAGTGGTGTGTGAGTGGTGCAGTTGTAAGGGCTGTAGTTGAGTGCAGTTTGGACGACATGCCTCTGCTGCAGGTGGTGTGCCTGCAGCAGCTGTACCGGCGGTGTTGCAATGATCGGGAGGCCACAAGAATACTGGTGAGTGGGTGGGGTTGGTGGGTGCTTCTCACACACCTATCGCTGCTGCAGGTGGTGCGCCTGCAGTGGCTGTACCGGCGCTGTTGCAATGACCGGGAGGCCACACGGATACTGGTGAGTGGGGTTGGTGAATATTTCTTACGCACCTATTTCTGCTGCAGGTGCTGCGGCTGCAGCGGCTGTACCGCCGCTGCTGCAATGACCGGGAGGCCACACGAATACTGGTGGGTGGGGTTGGTGGGTGTGGTGTGCAAGTGGTGCAGTTGTAAGGGCTGTAGGTGAGTGCTGTTTGGACAACATGCCGCTGCTGCAGCCTGCAGGTGGTGCGGCTGCAACAGCTGTACCAACGCTGCTGTAACGACTGGGAGGCTACACGCATACTGGTGGGTGGGTGGGGTTGGTGAGTGCTTCTCACACACCTATCGCTGCTGCAGGTGGTGCGGCTACAGCGGCTGTACCAACGCTGCTGTAATGACCTGGAGGCCACACGCATACTGGTGGGTGTAACTGGCGGGGTGTTGTGTGGTGTGTGAGTGGTACTACTCACACGCCTATCGCTGCTGAAGGTGGTGCACCTGCAGCGTGCCGTGCCGCTGCTGCAATGGCTGGAATTCCGCGCGGCACTTACAAGAATTCTGGTGGGTGCCGTGCCGTTCCTGTGGTGGGTGGCGTGTAGGTAAATGCAGCAGGTGCACACGCCGTTGCAGGAGTAAGGAGATAACGAACCGATAGGTGGGTGTGGTATATGGGAAAATGCACCACTCATGCTCATTCTGGTGGGTTGTGACTGCACTGAAGGCGACTGTGACTGTACCAAGATGTGTGAGTAGCAACAGTGGGGATTGCAGTTGTAGGCATCACAGCCAGTCACAAGCAGACCCAAGAGAGTTGCATGGGGATGGTATGGTAAGGAGATGGGGTCTTGATATCGTATGAACGGTGACCTGTTTCTGTTCCAGCTTCCCTCTCGTTTGCTCTTTTTGTGATAGATTCCTGAAGACAAGTGTATGAAAATTTCGTCGATAAACAAATATCTTGGTTTTTGAGCCGGTATTACTGTTATTTTTCAAGAGCAATTTACCCTGCACCATGCGCACCCACCTTCTGGTGAAGATCCACCAGCTGGACTCCCTGCCGTGCACCACCTTCCTCTTCACCCTCCCAGGCCCCGCCTGCATTTTTCAAGAGCAATTTATCCTGTGTTTGCCCACCCACCTGCAGGTGAAAATCCACCAGCGGGTTGCGCTGCCATGCGCCACCTTCCTCTTCGCCCTCCTTGGCACTCTCTTTGCCGCGCAGCTGCAGATCAGAAAGCGACAGGTGAGGGGGAAAGAGACAGGTGAGAGAAAGTTTAAAGCAGGGAGCCCCTTCGCAATTTGGCATAGCACCACTCTCTGACTGACAGCACTCTCCACTCACCACACTTCCTGACGGGATTTTGAGACGTCTCAAAAGCACCCTCGCTTAATTTGGCATGGGTACCACTCTCTGACAGCACTTTCCTCCACCTACCACTCTCTTGCTGCACTTTCCTCCACCTACCACACTTCCTGACGGGATGCGCTGCGCGCCGCAACTATCCCTCCTCGTTCCCTCCTTCCCAGTTCTGCTCTCCCATGCATGTTTGGGGTGCCCTCACTGTTTTTCTCAGCTTCACCTACTACTCTCTCTCCCTCTGCCGTACGGCTCATCACAGTCACTATCCTCCCTTCCTTCTCTTTCTCCCTCATTCACCTCTCCCATGCAGGTTCGCTTTGCCCTCGCTGTCTTTGTCATAATCACCTACTACTCTCCTTCCCTCACTGCCGTGCCACTCACCATGTCACTATCCTGCCTTGCTTCCCTTTTCACCCGCATTCACCTCTCCCATGCAGGTCGGCTTTGCCCTCGCTGTCTTTGTCACCTTCACCTACTACTCTCCTTCCCTCACTGCCGTGCACTCACCATGTCACTATTCTCCCTTCCTTCGCTTTTCACCCGCACTCACCTCTCCCATGCAGGCTGGCTTTGCCCTCGCTGTCTTTCTCATCTTCACCTGCTACTCTTTCTCCCTCACCCGCATGCTGCTTTCCTGACGCGATGCGCAGTGTGCGATAACCATCAATCACCCCTCGTTCTTTCCTTCCCCATTCACCTCTCCCATGCACCGTGCAGGTTGGCTTTGCCCTCGCTGTCATTGTCACCTTCACCTACTACTCTCCTTCCCTCACTGCCGTGCCACTCAACATGTCACTATCCTGCCTTGCTTCCCTTTTCACCCGCATTCACCTCTCCCATCCAGGTTGGCTTTGCCCTCGCTGTCTTTGTCATCTTCACCTGCTACTCTCTCTCTGTCGCCGCTGTGCTGTTCCTCCCCTGCTTCCCTCTCGCCACTGCCATTCCTCCCATGCAGGTCGGCTTCGCTCTTGCGGTCTTTGTCATATTCACCTACTACTCTCTTTCCGTCACTGGTGTCCTGCTTGCCCAGGTACACCAAATTCTCTCAAACTCCCCTCGTTCCACAGTATGCTGTTCTTTCTCCCTTCTCCTCTTCCAGGTTCATTTTCACCCACTAATTGCTCTTTGCATTCAAGTTCATAATGGTTTGCATTATAGATGTGTTTACGTCTTTGCCTGTAGCTGTTTTCCTAGTTTAAAGATTTTAGAGCATACTACTACGTGCTACCTGGAAGGAATCTCCTTTCAGCTAGATTTTTCTTCTTCTTATTCTTCTTGCTTTCTTTTCCCCTCCACTCTTCATGTTGCCCTTGACTTTCCCTCAGCTGCATGTGATCAGTCCGCTGCTGGGTGGATGGCTACCAAATCTCGTGGGTGCATCACTGGCACTCGTCTTGTTACGCTTGGGAGATAGTGCACAGTAGTTTGAACAATGCTGTTAAAATACCAATTATTTTCACCGCTGTACCTTACCTCACATGTATGGATATCCCGTTATGTTATGCTCTCTTCTCTTCTCTTGGTCAAATGCGGTACTTCGCTTTTGCGGTATTGAAATGAATATCATGTGAAACTGCATTCGGCTATCAGTAGCCCAAATACTGGTATCCATTACCAGAAGAACAACTACCGTACCAACCACAATACACTATGCAAAACACTCCAGCATTTTCTATACCTCAAAACACTGTCCCATCCCGCTCCCTCCCTGCTGGTTACCACCCTTCCCTCCTTTGCCCCACTTCTCTCCCTTTCCCCCCTCTTACCCCCAACACAATCTGCTTCCCGCCATATCCGTCCTCCCCGTCATCTAGGGGGCGTACTTCCCTCTATCACGCATCCCCTCTCTTCCTGCTAGTTACCACCTTCCCTCCCTTGCTTTCCTTGTCCTCTTTGTCCCCCTACCCTCCATTTTTCTGCCAGCGTGTTCCCGCTCGTCGGCTTACTCCGCTGCTGCTTGCCATACTTGCCTTGGCCCTTTCCGCCTTCTCCCTCTCCACCCGCAAAACCAACTTGCGGGCCTTCCCCCATTGAGGTCCTTTTTGAGGCGCCCCAAAAAACTCTTCCCTGCTGCTGCTCGCCATCCCCGCCTTGGCCCTTTCCGCCTTCTCCCTCTCCACCCACAAAACCACCTTGCAGACCTTCCCCCATCATCCCCACCTTTCTGCCTTTTCCGCCAGGCCCGCTGGATGGAGCGCTGCTTTACCAGCAGTGGTTTCTGCTGGCATAGGTATGTACTCGATAAAGGAAGGAACCCAATACCACATCGTCATCAGAGCTTATCTACATTTTTACACATAATGAGCCCGAGTTTCCATATACGAAAGGACAAGTATAAGTGATTTAACCTCAGGGACATACTGGAGTGGTGTTTCCGAGGGCCAACTGTAAGCTTTAAAAGCTGATGGCAGTGGTGATGGTGATGTATCTGATGCTGCTAGCCTGGCGATTGCAGTGACGGTGATGGTATGCTGACGATCATGGTGATTGTGCTGGTTGCAGGTAAGGTTCTGGGATCAACGGTGTAGAAATTAGGGTTGAAATGTTTAGAAATTAGGGTCTCAAGTCTAGGAGTTAGGGAGTAACGATCAGGGTTCAAAGGTTTCGGAATCAGGGTGTAAGAATTAGGGTTCAAGGTTTGGGTTATGGTCAAGGGTCTAGGAATTAAGGTTTAGTAAGGCATTAGTGTTCAGGGGGTTAGGGTTGAAAGTTTAGGGTATAGGATGGTGATGGTGCTGGGGTTGCACGAAACCTTAGCATTGGCTGCTGCTGCTGCTGCTGCTGCTGTTGTTGCTGTTGCTGCTGCTGCTGCTGCTGGTGCTGGTGCTGGTGCTGGTAGTGGTGATGCAGTGAGGCTTGAAGAACCAGGAGGAGGTTAGATGGCGGGCGGTGGTGGTGGTGGTGGTGGTGGTGATGGTGGTGGTGGTGGTGGTGGTGGTGGTGATGGTGGTGGTGGTGGTGGTGGTGGTGATGGTGGTGGTGGTGGTGGTGGTGGTGGTGATGGTGGTGGTGGTGGTGGTGGTGGTGGTGATGGTGGTGGTGGTGATGGTGGTGGTGGTGGTGGTGGTGATGGTGGTGGTGGTGGTGGTGGTGGTGGTGATGGTGGTGGTGGTGGTGGTGGTGGTGGTGATGGTGGTGGTGATGGTGGTGGTGGTGGTGGTGGTGGTGATGGTGGTGGGGATGGTGGTGGTGGGGATGGTGGTGGCGGTGATGGTGGTGGGGATGGTGGTGGCGAAATTGCTGTTGCAGGAGGGGGAAACGGAACAGGGGGAATGAAAACAGAAAAGTAAGGCAGGAAAGAAACACCATAATGATAACAGCATAAATTGGTGGAACAAAAAAAAAATAATTCCATGTCAAAGTCATATGATACTAAGGATATTTACCTAATCTCGAAGAGAACCGAAAATCTACCTGAAATTTGCTGACAAACTACCTGAGCAGGGAAACTATCCCTCTGAAATACAACCTGGAAAATGAGCAGGTAGGGGCTTAGGAGGTCTGGGAACTTACGAGGTCTAGGAGGAGGGGGGGGAGCTGGTGAACGGCGGGAGGTGAGGGAAGGCGGGCGGGGAGGGGGAGGAGGGTTGGGAGGAGGGGGGGCGGGAGGGGGTAACGGAGGTGAGGGAGGGGGAAAAGGAGGAGGCGAGGGAGGAGGAGAAGGAGGAGAGAGAGGGGGGGAGGGGAGGAGAGGGGGGGGGGGGATAAGGAGGAGGCGAGGGAGGGGGAGAGGGAGGAGGTGGTGGTGTCGAGGGTGGTGGGGGAGGGGAAGGAGGAGGTGCAATAGGTGCGAGAGAGGGCTCTTGTGCTGTGAAATGGTTGGGAATAGTGGGGGGGAGTGAAGGGGGGAGATGGGGGAAAGGGGGAGGAAGAAGAGAAGATAAAGAAATATTGAGTCGGCAAAAAAAAAAAATGCTACACTTGTGTGTGTGTGTGAAAATGAAGGAAAATTTATGAAGGCATGAGCACAGAGGAGGGGAAAAGGAAAAGCAGCGAAATATGGCAAGTTGCGAGCAACGAAAGATGATGAACAGTGATGAACAGTGAAACAACATGAACAGTATGCTGCAGACAGACCCCGTGCTCTATTGCATACCTGATAAGTAACGCATTAAGAAATCGTTTTTGAAATTTGCCTCTCATACATACACACCTGTGGAAGGTGCTGGTGGGGATGGCGGTGGGGGTAGGGGTGGCTGTGGTGGTGGCGAGAAGATTGGAGGAGGAGAGGGAGGAGGAGGAGAGGGAGGAGGAGGGGAGGGAGGAGGAGGGGAGGGAGGAGGAGAGGGAGGAGGTAAGGGAGGTGGAGGAGGGGAGGAGGAGGAGGAGGAGAGGGTGGGCTGGGAGGAGGTGGAGAGGGGGGAGGGTAAGCTGCAAGGGAGACAAGGGGTTGAAAGTGAAAGGATGGAAGGGGAAGGAGTGAGGAAGAGAGGGAGGGAGAAGAAGTGAGTAGTGTGGGAACGAGAGAAACGCACGATTGAAAAGTTGCATGTGAGACTCTTAATAGGGACAAATGCAGATTCTTTGTGTGGTTTTCAAGAGACGCTCAATATAACCAGGGTAAACAATAATGTATACTTGACTAAACAACATTTGTGCACGTACTGTCTATGCAATGCAGAGAGCACAGAGAGGGGAAAGAAGAGTGGGGCAGAGAGAGTGAGGCGAACAGAGAGAGTGAGGCGAACAGAGAGAGTGAGGCGAACAGAGAGAGTGAGGCGAACAGAGAGAGCGAAACGAACAGAGAGTTGCTCTTCTGCCCATCTATCTCAAACTGCATGCACACCTTGGGTCAGAGAGAGACTCTTGAGTCGACCCGACTTTTGAGTCGACCCGACTTTTGAGTCGACCCGACTTTTGAGTAGACCCGACTTTTGAGTCGACTCAATAGGCTCCTTCTGCCCATTCTATCTTAAAATGCATCCACACCTTGGTTCAGAGAGAGCGGTGCAATGCAAAGCAAGTGGTGTTCTTTTCACCAGATTTGCATTGCGTGCAAGAGTTGGGGCAGAGAGGGCAGAAGGCTAAGGGAGTTATATTCGTGTGACTTTTGAGAGTTCTCACAGGTCACACGAATATTGCACACCTTGGGTCAGAGAGAGCGAGCGGTGCAAAGCAAGTGGTGTTCTTTTCACCAGATTTGCATTGCGTGCAAGAGCTGGGGCAGAGAGGGCAGAAGGCGAAGGGAGTAGTGCAAAAGGTGCGGTGCAAAGGGAGGGGTCAAAGGAAGGGGTGCAAAGGGAGGGGTGCAGAGGGAAGGGTGCAAAGGAATTGTTGCTCTCATTACCAGCCTTGCAATCAGTGCAGTAGTTGGGGCAGAGAGAGCAGAAGGTTAAGGGAGTGGTGGTGCAATTCAAAGGGGTTGGTGAAAAAGGAGCGGTGGCCTCATTACCAGCCTTGCAATCAGTGCAGTAGTTGGGGCAGAGAGAGCAGAAGGTTAAGGGAGTGGTGGTGCAATTCAAAGGGGTTGGTGAAAAAGGAGCGGTGGGTTGGTGAAAAAGGAGCGGTGGCCTCATTACCAGCCTTGCAATCAGTGCAGTAGTTGGGGCAGAGAGAGCAGAAGGTTAAGGGAGTGGTGGTGCAATTCAAAGGGGTTGGTGAAAAAGGAGCGGTGGCCTCATTACCAGCCTTGCAATCAGTGCAGTAGTTGGGGCAGAGAGAGCAGAAGGTTAAGGGAGTGGTGGTGCAATTCAAAGGGGTTGGTGAAAAAGGAGCGGTGGCCTCATTACCAGCCTTGCAATCAGTGCAGTAGTTGGGGCAGAGAGAGCAGAAGGTTAAGGGAGTGGTGGTGCAATTCAAAGGGGTTGGTGAAAAAGGAGCGGTGGCCTCATTACCAGCCTTGCAATCAGTGCAGTAGTTGGGGCAGAGAGAGCAGAAGGTTAAGGGAGTGGTGGTGCAATTCAAAGGGGTTGGTGAAAAAGGAGCGGTGGCCTCATTACCAGCCTTGCAATCAGTGCAGTAGTTGGGGCAGAGAGAGCAGAAGGTTAAGGGAGTGGTGGTGCAATTCAAAGGGGTTGGTGAAAAAGGAGCGGTGGCCTCATTACCAGCCTTGCAATCAGTGCAGTAGTTGGGGCAGAGAGAGCAGAAGGTTAAGGGAGTGGTGGTGCAATTCAAAGGGGTTGGTGAAAAAGGAGCGGTGGCCTCATTACCAGCCTTGCAATCAGTGCAGTAGTTGGGGCAGAGAGAGCAGAAGGTTAAGGGAGTGGTGGTGCAATTCAAAGGGGTTGGTGAAAAAGGAGCGGTGGCCTCATTACCAGCCTTGCAATCAGTGCAGTAGTTGGGGCAGAGAGAGCAGAAGGTTAAGGGAGTGGTGGTGCAATTCAAAGGGGTTGGTGAAAAAGGAGCGGTGGCCTCATTACCAGCCTTGCAATCAGTGCAGTAGTTGGGGCAGAGAGAGCAGAAGGTTAAGGGAGTGGTGGTGCAATTCAAAGGGGTTGGTGAAAAAGGAGCGGTGGCCTCATTACCAGCCTTGCAATCAGTGCAGTAGTTGGGGCAGAGAGAGCAGAAGGTTAAGGGAGTGGTGGTGCAATTCAAAGGGGTTGGTGAAAAAGGAGCGGTGGCCTCATTACCAGCCTTGCAATCAGTGCAGTAGTTGGGGCAGAGAGAGCAGAAGGTTAAGGGAGTGGTGGTGCAATTCAAAGGGGTTGGTGAAAAAGGAGCGGTGGCCTCATTACCAGCCTTGCAATCAGTGCAGTAGTTGGGGCAGAGAGAGCAGAAGGTTAAGGGAGTGGTGGTGCAATTCAAAGGGGTTGGTGAAAAAGGAGCGGTGGCCTCATTACCAGCCTTGCAATCAGTGCAGTAGTTGGGGCAGAGAGAGCAGAAGGTTAAGGGAGTGGTGGTGCAATTCAAAGGGGTTGGTGAAAAAGGAGCGGTGGCCTCATTACCAGCCTTGCAATCAGTGCAGTAGTTGGGGCAGAGAGAGCAGAAGGTTAAGGGAGTGGTGGTGCAATTCAAAGGGGTTGGTGAAAAAGGAGCGGTGGCCTCATTACCAGCCTTGCAATCAGTGCAGTAGTTGGGGCAGAGAGAGCAGAAGGTTAAGGGAGTGGTGGTGCAATTCAAAGGGGTTGGTGAAAAAGGAGCGGTGGCCTCATTACCAGCCTTGCAATCAGTGCAGTAGTTGGGGCAGAGAGAGCAGAAGGTTAAGGGAGTGGTGGTGCAATTCAAAGGGGTTGGTGAAAAAGGAGCGGTGGCCTCATTACCAGCCTTGCAATCAGTGCAGTAGTTGGGGCAGAGAGAGCAGAAGGTTAAGGGAGTGGTGGTGCAATTCAAAGGGGTTGGTGAAAAAGGAGCGGTGGCCTCATTACCAGCCTTGCAATCAGTGCAGTAGTTGGGGCAGAGAGAGCAGAAGGTTAAGGGAGTGGTGGTGCAATTCAAAGGGGTTGGTGAAAAAGGAGCGGTGGCCTCATTACCAGCCTTGCAATCAGTGCAGTAGTTGGGGCAGAGAGAGCAGAAGGTTAAGGGAGTGGTGGTGCAATTCAAAGGGGTTGGTGAAAAAGGAGCGGTGGCCTCATTACCAGCCTTGCAATCAGTGCAGTAGTTGGGGCAGAGAGAGCAGAAGGTTAAGGGAGTGGTGGTGCAATTCAAAGGGGTTGGTGAAAAAGGAGCGGTGGCCTCATTACCAGCCTTGCAATCAGTGCAGTAGTTGGGGCAGAGAGAGCAGAAGGTTAAGGGAGTGGTGGTGCAATTCAAAGGGGTTGGTGAAAAAGGAGCGGTGGCCTCATTACCAGCCTTGCAATCAGTGCAGTAGTTGGGGCAGAGAGAGCAGAAGGTTAAGGGAGTGGTGGTGCAATTCAAAGGGGTTGGTGAAAAAGGAGCGGTGGCCTCATTACCAGCCTTGCAATCAGTGCAGTAGTTGGGGCAGAGAGAGCAGAAGGTTAAGGGAGTGGTGGTGCAATTCAAAGGGGTTGGTGAAAAAGGAGCGGTGGCCTCATTACCAGCCTTGCAATCAGTGCAGTAGTTGGGGCAGAGAGAGCAGAAGGTTAAGGGAGTGGTGGTGCAATTCAAAGGGGTTGGTGAAAAAGGAGCGGTGGCCTCATTACCAGCCTTGCAATCAGTGCAGTAGTTGGGGCAGAGAGAGCAGAAGGTTAAGGGAGTGGTGGTGCAATTCAAAGGGGTTGGTGAAAAAGGAGCGGTGGCCTCATTACCAGCCTTGCAATCAGTGCAGTAGTTGGGGCAGAGAGAGCAGAAGGTTAAGGGAGTGGTGGTGCAATTCAAAGGGGTTGGTGAAAAAGGAGCGGTGGCCTCATTACCAGCCTTGCAATCAGTGCAGTAGTTGGGGCAGAGAGAGCAG